CACACCTGTGCGATTAAGGGGTTATGCTATTGAAGAATTGCTCATTAATTTATTTAGACATATTTGGTTTTTGTGTGTATTTAGAATATTGTCTTCTCCATATTGATACAGCACCACACCACCACACAGAAAAATCAAACCACTTAATGTTTTTGCTATTTACTCAGAAAATCATACATCCAATAACAAAACAAAAGTTGTAAAAAAGCATCAATAAAAATTCTAATCTAAATGCACATATTCTGCTTTCATTGATTTTATCAAGTGTTAATGGTGGTTGCCTTCCTTTTACAACTAGTTTACAGTCTGTTTCATCAAGCTGTGCAACTTAAAATGCCTCCTTTATGAAATGGATGCTGCAGACCTTTGTTCATTCAGTTGTTTTATTCTTTTCAATGGTTTAAAATTTTGGAGTAGTCCTGTACAGTGTTTAGACAGCACATCTGAAGCTTACTAATAACCATAGTTTCGAACAAACCCTTTCTAGATAAGTGTGATGAAGGAAATAAGGGAAATAATTCATACAGCTAAGGAGAGGCATGCACACATACCAAGTGCTGAAAGAAAAAAAAGAATAGCCATATTAACTATTGAAATTGATGCTTGTTAATCAATGGCGTAACGACTCAACAATAGGTCCCCATATGAAGTACAATCCCCCATCCTCCCCCCGGAATCCGCTTAAGTACCTCTTTTTGGTGTCCATCGTCACTAATAAATAGTACGTAACGGTTATGTTTTTAATCAATGCTCTGGATTACCCACAATTCCAAGTCGTATTGTAAAAAATAAAATACTCAAATACATCATTCTTTTAAGATCTTTATTTTGGTTTTAAACATATCATACGAGTGTATTCTTTACCAACCGTCTAATAAACTATACACAGTTATTAAGATAGTAGTTAGAAGTACCACTGTCTGCTTCGCTATTGGTGTCGTGTTTAAACGGCTCACCATCATGATGAAATCTGCCATGTGTTGGGGTGTAAATAAGGTCTGGTCAGTTGATTTAGTATCAGGTAAGTTTAATACGAATTTTTCGCACCATTAAATTTTCAAAGAGACGTCCTAGTCCACATTTGTGTAGGGGGCCTACCAGGTGTCAGTGACAGGGCCCCGAAGAGGTCAGGGGCCCCTAAGCAACTGCATACTCTGCTTACCGATAGTTACGCCATTGTTGTTAATGACTGTTAAATGGTTGGAGGGTTTATGCCAAACCCTTATCTAGCTTTTGCTAGGAGGTCAATATTATTTTATGATTTTGAGACCAATTCTGAGCACTTATCTTTATCTTTTTTAATCTAGCTCATGTTCAATCACATATTTTTTACTTTTAAACTTACAAAATACTTAGAAAACATAATGATTTAAGATACAAGTTATTATAGGCAGTCAGCTAAATATATTTCAGTTTGGAGAGTTGGGCAACAGTTCTCATGTGATAGAGAAGGTAAACAGATATTTAACTTTTCTCAGTATGTTAAAGCATCTTAAAAGAAGTAATCTTAGGCACTAATTTCCACTCAGTCAAAAGTCAATTTAAATAAATCAATAAATACAATAACAAGCTCACTTAAAATTTAAACAGGTTAGAGTTTAACTGTATATTTTATTGGGGAAATGTATACCTACATTGAGTCTGTTCTTAAACTGTTTCTTAATTTACTAGAATTCTTAAATGACAATTGCTCAGACTGTTGTGTACTACCGGTTATATCAGCATGTAAGAGTATGATCCTGGGATCCTATGTTTCTTTTTCCTGTTGTTGTGGGGAATTCTCTCTGCATCTTTACACAGAAGAAAGATCATAAAGAATTCTGAGGGTGGTGTTGGTGTGGGTCTTTGGTTTTGAGGGGATTGTATTAAGTTGTTTATTGCATTATACAGAACATAAAGGTTGCACCTCCACATGTTTTTGAGGTGATGTAGTAGAATGAAAGGCATCTTTGGGCACCTCTGTCCTCACTGAACAAGTTTGCCACAGTCTCTCACACTCTCACTTGACAAGAGAAAATCCAAGAGGAGAAGAGAGTGCAGAACACAAGGAGATGCTTAGAGATAATAAAAACACCTCTATTTTCTTTTTCTGATGCAACAAAACTACTATAAAACCAGCATGGGGATGATGAAGATAAACTGGTTTTAAAATATTAAAGTACTGTAATTTTCAAACTTGTCCAGGCTCATACAAGTTGTTCTTCCTGAGTACTGATCATTTTACCATTGAGTGCTTTTAGTTCTGAACTCGGCTCCCCATTATCTTGCTTGGGATTCTATGACAGCTCTTGGTTACATAAAAAATATGAAAACTCTCAGCTTTTGTGTTGCCATTTTTCTTGTATGTTTTTTTTTTTTTGTCTTTGCATTGCAGTTTCTATATCTGTCTGGGATGTGTCTTCATTTTGTGGAACATTTTTACTTAGGAAAGTTTTTTCAGTGTTAGGTTTAGATCAGGTCGTTACAGGACAGAGAAAAATGCTTCGAGCTATGCACAGCTGTGAGCTCAAAAATCACGTCCGCAAGCGTCCGGCAAAGATTGAGCCCCAAACAAGGTCCTCTCCTGCTTCTTATACCTCATGAGTCTATGTGTTGCATCATGTGGATGTTTAGCTGTCCGTATCAGAAACTGACACGCCATCCCATGCACTGACCTGTATGCATCTTGCCTCTATGCCCAAGAATTACAGATAGCTCCCCTTTATCAGACCGGCTCCAAGATGTGCCCATATCCTGTGTATCTTTAAAAGACAAGAAGGCTGTCCTATTTAGATGACCTCCTTACACACAGTGACATCTACAATGTGAAGGAAGGCCCTCTACTCTGTCTAATCTGGCTAACAGAATAACAATGCACATGATGTATAAACTATAAACCTAACAGCAGGATCTCCTGTGCAGAAGCATACTTTTCCCAAGATGCCCTGAGTTTTCATGGAAGGACTTTGTGGGACTGTCTGTTTATGTTTCCTGCACAAATTTGGCCCTCTCTGTATGCATTTGGCAATTATGCCCTAAGAATACATCTTTCCCTCTGAAACTACTCATTTTTTGATGATTGTACTTTTTATCAGATCTGAAAATGGTTTGTATATATGCTCTTTTAAATGCAGCATTCTTATATTCACAATTATCTGGTTTTCTTAACTTTTCAACCAAAGTTAATTTACATTAACACACAGGATGCTTGTCTGTCCATGTTTGGCAAAGAGATGCACATTGCTTATCTGGGGAACACATACTGTAGCACCATGCAGTACATGCAGGTCAGTTGGCAGAGCTGTTGTGATGCAATGTTATGACGCATAAACATAAATTCTGCACGTGGATGTTACCTTGGCACATACTATTGGCTATGAACACCCTTTTTTGGAAACTATTCCCTAAGGACTGCAGCCTCTTTCTGCAGAATAAAGCACCCTGACACAAAACAAAGACTGCTTAGGAATGGCTTGAGGAGCATTTAGCAGGCTAAAGACATTGATTTGGACAAAATGCTCAAATGAATATTATAGTGTCATAAATCTGGTTTGTTGGACTATTTTTAGTTGGTTGGCTGATTGCCTCTCCCTGCTCTGCTCCACTTTGCTAGTTGGAGTAAGCAGATGCACCTATCAGCTCCTAATCACCCTCATTCCTGCCAGCTATCATTTTAACTATTTATACCTGTCTCGTTCAGTTATCTTCTGACTAAATGTCTCCCCCCTTGCCCATAGTGTATAAGGATCGGCCCAGCGTCCGTATGCACTGCCAGCCTTCCTTGGTTCCTGTGTTCAGCCTGCCCTTAATGGTTATTCACTCCCACGTCAGTGGGCTCAGCCATCCATCAGTGGATTTTCATTGTCTTCTTGATCTTGTCATGTTCTACTCAAAGTCTCTACTCTGTTCATTCATCACTTGCACCACCACCGCACCCACATCTAATTTTATGGACACTTTGGCTCTATTCTTGACTGAATCCCCAGGTGTTGTCAGAGGAGTTGCACTGGAGGAAATTCTCCTCCAGGTGCTGGTCCTAGGTAGTGCTATTTCCATCTTAAATCTCAACTTGCTTCTTATTTTTTTGATCTCAAATCTGTTTCCTTCATGTTACCCGATGCTATAAGTTGTCTCCATCTGAGAGGAGCTGTAGATTTCTGCTAGTGTACCTGACATCTGTTCCAAATCATTATTTAATTGACTGCCAGCTTGTCAGTCTCTCGCCAAAGCATCTGTTCCTACCTCTGTGACTGTGGAGACTGCCAGAGCTTCTCCTACTTTCACCATAGGTCAGCTGGATGCCTGGCTTTCTGTCACTGGACATCAACTCGACCCGTAAATTCAAGCCAATTCATGTTAGCCGGAAACCTTGCATCCTGTGCCTTGGGGTCCACTGGATGCTTGGCCTCCTGTAATGGGGAGTCTACTTGATGCCTTGGCCCAATTCACCAGTGATCTGAAATCTAACAAGAGCTGAACTCCAACCAGAGCTTCATCTGTCCAAGCATCAGTGTTTGAGTTGTTTTTTGGTTCACTGGAATCCACTCTTGAGGGAAGGACTTGTCAGGAGTCTGGTCTGCCGTCCTTTGCTTTGGCTATCTCTTTGGTCAGTGTCAGGGTTCTGCCCTCAGTATCGTTTTTTCTTTTTAGTTTCTTTGTAATTGTGTGTCTTTGTAGTTGTTTTCTAGCAGTGTTGTGTTCTTGAGTTGCTCTGTTGCCCCCTTGTGCTTGTTTCCTTTCCCCTTGGCTACCTTCAAGTTAGTTCTATTCACACTCGCTCCGTATCAGCTCATTAGCCCATCCTTTGTTCTGTTCCCCAAATATACACCACCTCTGTAGTTCCTCATTGCTGGTTTCTTGTTGTTTTGTTGTTACTAGGTTTCCTGTGTGTGATTTTCCCTGGCATCTCCTGGTTTTTTGCTTTTCTGTATTTTGGATTTTTGGATTTTTCGCCTATGTTGCCTCGGACTTACCATTAAATCTGCAAACTCATATCTGCCTACTCATCTCTGCATTTGGATCCTCTAAAAACCTCCACCAAACCTTGACAGTTATATAACATAAAATCACATTGATCAGAAGTTCCCAGTTTTGTAAAACAAAACAAGAAATACATTTATTTCTAAAATTTCCAAATTTAAAAGCTCAGCAACATGTACAGTTTCATGAATATGGTTTATTGAATTGTTTTTTGGGGGCTTTTTGGTTGATTGCCTCTTCCTACTTTGTTCCACTGTAGCTAGAGTAAGTTGATGCATGTGCAACTCTCCCAGTTACTCTAATCTCTCCCACCTAATAGGATGCCTATTAATACATTCCTCTCAGTTATTTCCTGCCAGAAGGTCTTCTCCTGCCTCTGTGAGGATTATTTCTTTCTCAGTGTGCAGTCATTCTGGGTTCTTGTGCTCACCCTGTCCTCACTGGTTCTTCACTCCAGTGTCGATGTGCTCTGCCTCTACCTCCCAGTGTTCCTGTGTTCCTGTGTTCCTGTACTCAGTCTTTGCTTACCTGATTCTCATCAACTATCAGAGTCCACAACTGTGTCTGACACTAGTTTGTTCTATTTGAATCCAATCAGCTCAGAACCAGCTATTATCAAGTCGGCTCAAAACCTGTCTCAGTCCTGCTCAGTCATTGTCTGCCTACTCGGGTCTGCAATCAGCCAGTTCAGCCTGTTAGCCTGGGTTCTGCCTTCATCTGCCTCAAGCTTGCTGCTTTCTGTTCTTGTTGTCATCAACTGGTTCAGTCATCCCCTGCCTGCTTAAACTTGCTACCAGCCTACCTTCCTGCATTCAAGAATAATCTTTACAAACTGTTTCATTGAACCCTTTAAACTCACACTTTGTGCCTTGCAGAAACCTCTACTCTCATACTTCTTCTGCCTATCTATAGATAGCATTCAATAATTATGGCTGCCCAGTGAAAACTATAAAATGACTACAGTCGTAAGAAGTATTGTATTAATTTCCCAAGAAACATGTTAAGAAGTAATGGTATTTTAAGAATATATTGATAGGTAGCATTTATGGGTTGGTTTTACTGCTAAGCATTTATGTCGGTTTTAACAAACTTATTTAAAATTCTATATATTTTGTGCCAATTGTTAAGATGTAAATATTAATATATATTCTTCTCATGTACATATCTAACCTACCCTTGCCTAACAAGGCTGTGCTCTTTAGTAATAGTGTGCATTCACAAATAAACAAGAATTAATTTTGTCCTGGTTCCACTACAACCATTTGAGAGGAAACCATTCGGCCAACCATATTGCAGTATTGTGGTTTTGGTTATAACTACTGAGCCCACAGCTGAATCAAAATAAACATAGCAGTACAGGGTATACACATAGTTGCTTCCATCACATCTGTGTTTTCATAATAAATGAGTTATTTGAAAGAGGAATATCATAAAAGCCTAAGCCAGGCATTCCTAAAGTAAGTCCTTGAGGGTCTGCTGTCCTGCAGTTTTCAGAGGTTTCTCTGTTCTTCACAGCGGACTAGTGGTTACATATTGTCAGTGTGGCTTTCCAAGTTATGTATAAGTTGAATTCTTCAACTTATTAAAACTGTACAGTAAGATTTTTTATTTGAGTATTTAGGTTTGTGGCTTTGTGCTTTGCTTTTTGTTTTTTTTTTGGGGGGGGAGGGGTCCAAAATCCTATAGTATACAAAGTTTTATCTCTTCTTGTCCTTGTGTTTGTCTTTGTGTGCATACAGCACTGCAATAAAAGTGCATCTACTTCTTGGATGTGGCTGCTGAAATCATCAATTATTATTGCCAACAAGCCTTGGCCTCGCATCACTCTCACCATGACAACCACCACTTTGATACTCATAATGGCAATCATCAACATGGTAAGTTTATATGGGCAGGTACTGCACTAAGAAATGGCTAACACCTTGTAGAATTAGAATCTTATAAAGTATTTGTTTTAACAACAATTCTCTTTTTTTAAATAACCAAATTATATGAAAAGGTTAAATGATCTTTAATTATCTATAAAATTACCAGATTGCTTAATTGTTTGTGTTTTTCATTGACATTCATCAATATATTTTCTATGAATTCTCCATGTCGGTGTTGTTTTCCATAAACTGATAATATAATATTTAACATTTTAGTTTTCATTTATTTATTGTTGCCCCTTTATTTTTCAGATGTATCCGATTATGGTTTACTTTGATGCAGAGGAAAGATGAATACATAAAGGCTCAGATAAAGAGGGAACAGTAGCCTTAGGCTTGAGACAAGGCTGGCTTTGTGATAAAACATAGTGTCAGGACCCTGGTCTAAAACTTCCCAAAAATCAATTCCGGAGATTATAATCGTGTTTTGCGTCTGACATGGGTCAGACGCTCAGGGCAGGGAACCAAATTATCCTGCCTTTGCTCAGTGGGACAGCAATCCTTGTTTTATCCTGCAGGTTTTCTTTAATGGTCATTATTGAATGTTTGTCACAATTGGCCTCTAACAAGATTGTATTTTCCTCCCGCAAGTCTAATGCTGACTAGTTCATCTATACACACAATAACAAGCAAAGCAAACTGATTAAATGTTTATGTTTTTCTTTCCTATTTTTTTTGTTTTCCCTTGAATAGTAAAGCAGTAATTTTTTTATTCTTTGATTTTTTTGTTCTAGTTCTTTTTGGAAGATGTATCCCCCCCAGTTCAACTTCACAACTCATCTAATGAAACAGTGTTTTACTCTAATGGGCAACCTTTAAACTTCTCAGGCCAAAACAATTATTACCTACCTGTAAGTATGGACAGAAACAGTTAATGAGAAAATGGTTATTATTGCTCCTTTTTCATTATTTGTCCTACAATTAATCAGCCTTTCTGTCTGTCAATCTTTATGCTCTGTTCAGTATTTAATTTACAGTTGCATCCTGGGCCTGATCTCTTGCTCTGTGTTTCTGAGAATAAACTACGAGCTGAAGATGATTATAATGTTGACTGCGGTGGTGATCTACAACATTATTATTCTACAAACACACGCACCTCTGCTGGATGAATATAGCAGATTTCTGTATAAGACTGAAAGCCTTGACAGGTAGGTAATAGGAATGTCTTTTAGGTTTTCATTAGCAGCCAAAACAACAGACTTCCATTTAAAAATGTGGCTATTACACACCTCATTACGTGAGTGTCATTATAGAAAGAAAACAGCTCTGTTGCAAAGTTCCATTAATTACTATATTGCACTGGAAACCCTGCAACAGATTAAAAGTAAAATTGATGTAAAATACAAATACAAGCTAACATTATTCCAAATTCAAATTGCCAAGCAGTGTCTGTCTGAATATTTTAGGTGTGTATTCCATGCTGGTTGAAGACTGGAGGGTTTAAACAAATCTTCTAAATGTAAAGCTCTGGAAGAATCCCTGTGAGGCCCAGTGGCAAATTCAATTTAGGTACACCAGCTGGATATCAAGTACAAGATAGCATCCCTAACCGTGATTTAAGTGGAATTAGACCAAAGTAACATACTGCAGTCTTTTATAATGGGTAAATGTATCACACTCTTGTTTTCCTCGCTTCATGCATTTTACAGCATTGAAAAGCAGCAAAGGCATTCGGAAATGACCTTCTTTAAAAGGTTGGTCGAACAATTTGTTCCTAAGTAAGCCTATTAATTGAGGGTATGATGATCAGAGTCTATTTACTTAAGTAGAAGTAACACTACAACGTTTTTATACTCAAGTAAAAGTAAAAAGAAGTGATCTCAGACATAACTTGAGAAAAGTTAAAAAGTAATTGGTAAAAAGGCTACTCAAGTATTAAGTAAATGTTCAATACACTGTAAATACATTGTAAACATGAGTAAAAAAATTCTTAACTCTTATTACTCTTATCATCGAGAGTATTTACCCTTAATTTGAGTAGGAAAATAAGATGATCTGCCAATGAAATCAATATTTATACCCTTAAAATAAGGTCGTTAGATATTATGCACTCGAAATAGGAGCCTTTTTTTCATATTTTTAATTTAAAATTGTTTTATTCCATGGGCAAAGTGTCTCCCTTAGCTGCACAATTAAAGAAAAAATGCACTTATTTGAAGAAAAAATACTTTTTTACAGTTTACATTGAATTTAATATTTAGAAATGATTCAGACTGACAGACTTTATGTGCTAGTTTGGGTATTTTAAAGGCTCAATTGCATAAAGAATAAAAGAAATTTCACGAATACAAAAGAGCAAAATCATGCTGAAGAAATACTTTTAATAAAACATTTTTTTTACATAACACTTAGAAAATCAAAACTTACAGTGATATCTGTATATATATATGTTAAGACAGAGTAAAAGATGTCCACTGACAATATCTACTGGCACTGCATGTTCACCTAATCTTGAAATAGTTCAAATCACTCAGATGTTAAGAAACTTAACTCAAATATGAGTGGCAATAATTAACTTATTATTCATGTAAAAGTAGGAATTACAGGAATTACAGTAAAACTACTCCTATTTTTTCAAAATATTACTCAAGTAAATGTAACTGAGTAAATGTGATAATGATAATGGTGTAATATGGTGTTTGTTTTGGATACAAAATGTGAAAGATTAGAGGTTCTTTATTTAAATATGATGTGACTATTTATTTAAAGTATAAGTTCAATACTCCATACTGTAAAATTAATCTTAGATGAATGATCTGAAATAGTAGGTTGGACAGCAGTCAGTTGGGGCTGCTTCTAGCATTCTGCATGTGGAGGTGAGTAAATCTGTCCTCTGTGTGGTCTTGATATATGCTGCAGCATTTGAGTGCTACTTTCAATAATTAAGTTTCATTGGAGCACAGAATTTAGGATTTAGATTTTTATTTTTTATTTTATTTTTTTTACGTCAGGCTGCTGCATGTCAGATTTTTTCTGACATGCAGCAGCCTGACGTAGCAGCTGATGACTTTGCTCATGTTTGAAAGCAAATTCATTAAGAGGAAATTGTTCAGTGATGTCTATTTAAGGTATATTACCTTCTCCTAATGAGACAGACACTAACCAAATACACAGAAGATCGACAACAGAGTGCTTTTAGGTTCTATGGGAAAAAAAGATGGAGCTGGTAAAATTTTAATGTGAAGGGGACTTAAATTATCTATCATGAGTCATCACAATATTTCTGACATTGCCCAATTTTTTTTCTCTCCATAGAATTAGCAAATTCTCAGAATGTGGGTATTTGTACATTAAAGCTGTGATATAATTTGAGGTTTTGTATTCACAAATTTTTTTAGGAATAGTTCTCAGACATTATGGGGCTTATAATGGATATCAAATTGACTCTACATATTTTTCAGGCATTGGGGATCAAAAAATTAGGAAATTATTTTCACTGCATCAAAACGTGGGTGTGACCAAGCATTGTATACTTATAACTTATAACTTCCACACACTGGGTCTGAGGTTAATTATAGTTGCTGTGTGTCAACTCCAACCAGCAATAAAAAGCAATCTAGGCTGACATGTGATGGGCGTGGCTTGATTTCTTCACAGTGCCCCCTAAAATCACTAAAACAATCAGCCCAGGGCCACAGTATTATGAAGATTGGAATACATGCATATTCCACCAACAAATACAGAAATAACAATTGAAGCCAAACCCAAAGGAACTTGAACATTTTGGATCATGTGGGTGTGACCAAGAATTGAAATATAACTTTTTACCATAAAAAATAATGTGCTATAACTTCCACCAGCAGGGTATGAGTTGAATATGGGCCAAATTGACATAGGAGTCAGGGTGCAGTTCCTGGGGTCCCAATAGGCCAAGTGCCGTTTGCTGCTTTAGCCATCTTTGTTATTGCCCCGCTATTATGAGATTCAGCCTTATTTTAGCCTTATTTCAAAAGGAGCTAACTCAGTGTGCTATGCTCCTTTCTAACATTTCTGATGGGCTCCCTCTTATTTTCTAAAAGGAAATTCTGAATTCTACAAAATATGTTTACATCATTACTTACATCCATAATGGTGGATTGGGGCTTCATCAAAAAGGGCGATGGTTCCACTGAGTTTGCTCATTGCAATACTCTCTGAAACAGGTCCACACAAAAGTTGGAGTTATTCGGGAGATAAGCTGTCATTGTTTGTGTTAAAGTTCTAATTGCTCTTAATGAATAGCTGTAGTCAATGCAGCATGACAGTGCCACGCTGCAGTAAGAATGCCAATGCCTCTTGTCGCAGCAAAGCAGAAGTGACAGTCTAGGCTGAGTGACAGCTTAGAATAAAACGGTCTGCTAACCATTCATGTGGCATGTGTCTGTGTTGATTGTGATCTCTATGTGTAATTAAATAGTCTAAATCTAATTATTTTCTCTTTAAAATGTTCAGTTGCTTTCTGTGAATCTCTTTTCATTAATTAGATTTGCCATTATCATTACTATCTAACAAAAAAGTATTTATTTTTTATTTCTTGGCTACTTAAGACCTGGAGTCCTCAAGGATCTGAAGACCATGGGCTCCATCTCTCTTTTTATCTTCTTCATCACATTGCTGGTTCTTGCCAGACAGGTAGGCCTTCATGTGATTATTTTTTTTTTATTTATTAACTTTTTTTATGCATGCTAGATTATACAACTTCTGAAGATGTACCAAAAGGTATCTCTGCAATCTTTTATCTGTCTATTTGTTTCTTCATGCACCTAAATTTGGAGCTGTCAAATCATTTTTTACTTTCTTTTCTCTCATTTCCTCTCATGATATTCTTGATGCTCTGTGCACATGGTCTGCCGATTCCAAATATAGCTTCATCTCTATAACTCGTTTTTTCTTCACTCCAGTGTTTTTCTGCAGTCAGACTGTTTTTATTTTAATACTCTGAATTCCCCAACCTAAAGTTAATGATGCCCCAGGTTTAGTTTTTCTTTTTCTTAAGACGCAAATTAGGTTTTCTGGCTGGTTGCAATCTCTAAAACAGCTTGTCGTGATTGATTAGCTTCTTCCAGAAAAAAAGCAGTTTGAATAAAACCTGACTGAAGCTAGATATCTGCCTCTAAACTTAATTATCACCGAGGGCTCTGGGCAGTTTTTCACAGTGAACAAAATCTTCCTTAATGGATTTAGAGTTCTTAAATATCAAACCAGACACAGGATCAAGGATGCTTTCTGTATATCCTTTACAAGCTTGATTTGTTTTTTCTTACCAACATGCCACAGGACCATATTTGATTCACATGGTGGAGGTCTCATAGTGTCATGCTTAAAATTTTACTGCTCTGCTTTTCATTCATTTATTTTTCACAGTCCGGTTGTTTAAACTTGAAAGCATTTTACTAAGATTTAACATGAGGGATTACCAGAAAATACAAGGCTACATAACTGTGAGGGGTAAGAAACTTCATAGACCATTTTATTTGGCTTTCACATTTTCCATTTGTAGTTATCCTTTCAGGATTGATCCACATAGAATATCAAACTTTGATTACAGCTGCAAGTCATTTTAGTTACGTCTCTACCCGCTTCGAACATCGAAAGAATGAAATTTGTGATTATTCTGTTTTATGAAATAACTCTAACCCAGTCAGATTAGATAAAGACCATCTGGGAGAACTCATTTCAAGTTTTGTTTTAAAATGAGTCAGATTTAGGAATTTCTCTTGTCTCTTTCTGTGTAGCACCTAGTAAAAAGGTAGGCTGTTTCCTCTTTGTGGTTTGAAATTGACTCCATCTAACCTCCCATAAACATGGCCAGCTTTCCTGTCCATTTCTATTATACGTTGTGAAATGGAGAGATTTTAAACTATACTGTTGAAAAAAATAAAGGAACCATCTCAACAACACAATGTAATTGCAAGTCAATCACTGTTCTTGAAAATCAACCTTTCCAGTAAGAAAGTAGCACTGATGGCGAAACAGTTTCATCTGCTGGTTTGAATTGAATATAATATAATTGAACTTTATTGTATCTCACACTGGAGAAATTAACTCTCTCCATTTAGCCCATCTCCTTGGGGAGCTGTGAGCTGCCACTGTGCAGGGCCCAGGGAGAGTGTGGGGTTAAAGATCTTACTCAGGGACGCTGAGTGGCAGTCTCTGTAACCACTAGTCCACCACAAACAGAGAGTAGGTGGAAATGAGAGGCCATTAGCAAGCCAACTGGTAAAGAAGTGGTTTTGCAGGTGGTGACCAAAGACAATTTCTCATTTTTTTCCTTTCTGAATGATGTTTTGGCTGCTTTATCAATGCTCTCGCCCATAAAGGTAGCAAGAGGTGGTGTCTGCAACCTGAAGAGGGGGCTCATTAAGTGCAGCTTGGCAAAAAAGGCACATCAATCTGAGCTGTGGGAAGAATGTTTGCTGTGACCTGTGCTTTTCACAGATGAGAGCAAGTTCACACTAAGCCCATGTAACAGATTTCGATGTGTTATCCAGAGCTATCATATTTTCCTTGTGCATGATGGTGTTAAGCCTCTTGTGGCTTCAGTCTCAGTAGTTCCTGTATGTTTTGTTCCACCCACCAATCTCAGGAGGAGAGAGTGAAGAAGCAGAGGGGACTGTTTCTTTGGACAACCCCTCTAGTTCACCTCCATATGTGCCACCTATGGTGCATACCCACTTTTGCACCGCTGCACCAATGCCAAATTACATCACAGGCTGTCCAGGAGTTGAATGATGGCCTGCCAAAAAACAGATTGAAACCATGTAGAATTAAAAATGAACTACGCCTGTAGGAGCTATTTCTCTATTTTTGTTTTAGAACTTAGATTATTTAGTTAGTTTGTATTTATTTGGTTATTTGTTGCATTTTTGTTTGAAAGTAGTTGCTTATAATACAATTATTTCTTAGTAAATTGTTTAATTAGGTAATTGATTTTGTTTGGGTGTCTGGTGTATAAATACATGGACTCCAGGTAGCTCAGGTGAAAAGTGGGTGGGCTTATGGTTTTTTACCAGTCTTCTAGTCTTCTAGCTGCAGTCTACCAGGCCTTTCAGAAGGCAAATCACTCAGCCTTAATCAGGTGAAATGAGCACAAAGGCAGAAACCAGGCCAGGAGATGTGGCAAGTAGTCTTTTTGAGTTTGTATCATGTTTATTTTTCCCGAAGAAACCTGGAATAAACTCACCGAACTGCATTTTTCACGTATTTTGAGAATTTTTTGTACTGCGTAAAACCAGAAACCCACTATTCCTCAAGTGACTATTTGATTTACATTTATTTTTTGCTTTTTCATTTTTAATTTTTTTCATAGACAACTAGTCACTACAACGCCGATCGATCTGTAAGGAAGCATCACGTAGAAACAGTTCGCAAAAGGGAGGGACTCAATTCTTCGAATTGATTGGGTACCTGCTTCCCATGTTGAGTTTTTAGCCCATCCCAGCAGCATTAGCAGTTTGATTTCTTTCAGAACTAGTGGAGTTAACGATTAATACAAACTCCTACCTAATCCGGTATCGGGGAACATGCAACCGTCCTACCACCCAGAAAGGCTTTTATTTGCTTTGCAAAGAGAAAAAGAGGGTATTCCAGCTAAAACCAGTGCAGCCATGTTTGTTTTGTTTCAGCCTTCTGCCTCTGGTTCATGCGTTGACGTCATACACAGAAACATTTCTGTATCGAGGCCAAACGTATCTGCTGGCTCCTTGTAACATTTATTTTTTTGAGCAGTGTATATTAAAAATGCAAAAGCAGAAAGGACCACTGAAATATGTGCAACCTCAAGGGTTATTAGTAGCTGCAGTTAACACCTTGTGTTTTCTGAAGGGTTGTATTTTATAAGATTTTTCACCTTCATCATTGGAGCATTACAAAAATATAAATAAGTGATATAATTTTATTTTAACAAAGCTGCAGTTGTTACTGTTTAACAGGTTGTCTTTAATACAAATGAATGTCTTGAGATTTTTCTTTCCCTTCCAGTGCCAATGTTCAGATTTATGTCATTTATGTGTGTTTTTCTGTGCTTAATGGAAGCAAGCTTTACTGATATCTCTTCAGTCTCTTCACCTCTGTGTCCTCTTGTAACAGAATGAATATTACTGTAGGTTGGACTTTCTTTGGAAGAACAAGTTTAAAAAAGAATGTGAGGAAATTGAAACAATGGAGAATCTCAACCGGGTTTTACTGGAGAATGTCCTTCCTGCACATGTTGCAGAACACTTCTTGGCTCGCAACTGGAAAAATGAGGTTGGTGATTTTTTTTTTCCTACTGGCACATACTGTATTTGTGTATGATAATATAAGCTTTGTTGGAAACGTATACAGATTTAATGCAAATGTGGTATAATTACCAGCGTTATAGATTTGTTATGGTGTTTTTTCTTAACTATTATGCCATGCAGCAATTAAAATATCTTCCAACAAAGCTTATTTTCTTCACACTTAAAGGACTAGTGGAGGATGTTCTTTTTCCGGTGGATCATCAAAATAAGTGGTCCTCCTAATTGTCAGTCATTCTGGTGATATATTTACGGAAGGCCGTCCTACGTGCTCATCCCCATTTTTACTTACCGGTGGTGAGTTTGACATAGTGGAAAAATAGCAAATCTTCTTTTGGAAAGTAAGCTTGTATGAGTGATTCAAACAGCAACTTTTACACAGAGCGTGCACGAGGAGAAATGGGCTCGTACATGCTCTTACACCCTTTTAATAGAAGTTCCCTTTTGAGAGCGGGTACAGGGTTGTGCATGTGCTTTTTTTTTGTAGGTGGAGAAGGGGGGGGTCTTTTCAAAATTTCTACACTATACATTTAAATCCTTAACTTATTGCGCTCAGATAAAACACTTTTAAGAGCTTGCTTCTTTAAAATCTGTTTTGTGGGCTGCACTCATTGTGAGGGCTGTGAATGACTGCAGGACTGGATTGTTGAGACTTCCCCACAGTAGTTAAGCACATAATATCTCAGTATGAAAACTCATTTATTTAATTTATTTTATCTAATGCCTAGATTTCATGACCTGGTGCCGAGGGTGTCTGCATCTTAGTAGTTACAGTAGTTGAATGCTCCTTCTGTTACATGTCTGTTACATGTCTCTGGTCATAGAGCTTGGCTCCCAAAGAAACACCTTATGTATATTACTTTGTGTAGCCACATGAGTTGATTGAAATTAGTATTCCTAAGGTATTAAGGTGCACCTTAATTGTGGCAAGATGTGAAACACTCAGCACTTGTATACACTCACCGGCCACTTTATTAGGTACCCCATGCTAGTAACGGGTTGGACCCCCTTTTGCCTTTAGAACCGCCTCAATTCTTCGTGGCATAGATTCAACAAGGTGCTGGAAGCATTCCTCAGGGAGTTTGGTCCATATTGACATGATGGC